TCAGCAATACCATTACTTAGGATATATCCAAAAGAATGAAGTGGCCACACTAACTAACTAACTAACTAAGGACTGGTCCTTCCTGGAAACATGGCCAAAGTATGTGAGACATAGCACTCATGCTTATTGCACCATTACAATAGGAAAAAGTATCCATCAGAGTAGAACTAGCTAAAAACTGATAGTATATACATACAAAATAACTAATATCACTAAAAATTAATTAAGAATTCATTAAATACTAGACAACATAGATAAACCTAAATCAAATCATGTTTAGTTTCATAAGTCAGTAAGTAAAAGACAATTATGGTATAAGACTACAAGTTGTTGTTGTTGTTATGAACCGTTGCATTGCCTACAACTCGTAGCAGTGTTATACACATTAGCTCTGAATTTTATCCTATCCTGACCCAATTTCACTGTCTCTGATACACTTGCCTCCAATAGCTCAGTCACTGTGTCAGTCCATCTCATACAGGGTCTTGCTCTTCTACACTGACCCTCTAACATTTCAAGTATAATGTTCTTCTCTAAGGACTCGTCCTTCCTAGTAACATGCCCAAAGCATGTGAGACAGAGCCTCAGAAACCTTCCTCCAGAGAGCAACTTGATTTCATCCTCTCCAGGAAAAGCCTTTTTGTTCTTTTGACCATCTATGTTATGTTTAATTCTCTTATCCAGCACTACAACAGAAAGGCATCAATTCTTCTTCTCCCATCCATAGTCGTCATCCAGATGTCTGATACATTAGCAAGTAATTGCAAAGACTATGGCCTGGACCAGACACACCTCAGTCTCTAGACATCTTTTTACTTTAACACTCTGGAGTGGTCTCAGGCAGCGGACTTTCCTAATCAAATTAGTCTTTTGGTTTTCTGGTTACTGGTTCTAAGAGTGTTAATTGTGGACCTGAGTACGCTGACATTATTAATAATTTCAATCTCCTCTCCATCTATCATGGTGCTGCCCATTGGCCCAGTGGTGAGAATCTTTGGTATTTTTGTTTATTTATTTTTTTTTAATGCTGAGCTTCAATCCATGTTGAAGACTGCAGTCCTTGATTTTCTGCATCAGATGCTTCAAGTTCTCCTCAGTTTCAGTGAGCAAGGTAGTACCTTCTTTCAGTGAGTTGTCAATGAGTCTTCTTCAAATTCTCATGCCACATTCCTTCTTATAAACATCAGCCAACAGAATGATCTATTACACATAGAGATTGAGAAGGTATGGCGATAGGATGGATCCCTGACACACTCCTTTCTTGATTTTGAACTATGCAGTGTTTCCTTCCTCTGTTCTGAGGACTGCTTCCTGGTCAAAGTATAGGTTTCCCATAAGCATAATTACATGTTCTGGGATTCCTATTCTTCTCAAGAGATAAGACCTAAATGTTTCACTAGAAGAGCATGCTTAGCAAAGACTGCCCCCAAAGTAATCTAATTAGCATTTTAGGCACTCTAGAGACATGTAACAAGAGACTCTAGAGACATGTAACAAATTAGGAGGCATCACATTCCCTGATCTCAAAAGCTAGTACACAGCCATATTAATCAACACAGTATAGCGACAGATTCATAAACCAATGGGATAGAATTTGTGAACCCCAAAATCAATCCATCTTCCTATGATCAAATGATCTTTGACAAGGACATAAAATAAACTATGTGTGGAAAACAATCATCTTTTTAACAAAAAAAAAGTTGAAAAATGGAATATTCATCTGCAAAGAATGGAAATAATTCCACACCTCACACCATTCACAAAAAAACAATTTAAGGTGGACCAATAACCTAGAAATAAGCCAAAACCCATAAATTATCATCAGCAAAAAAAGAAACACATCAAAAATCCTATTACATAACAAGAACAACATGATATGAACAGGCTCTCAAGCTATCACCAAAAAGCTATCTACAGAAGGGAATAAAATAGATTAATGTGACTTTCTAAAAAGCAAATCTTTGTGTGCATTTAAAAAAACCCAACCAAACAACAACAAAACCTCCAAATAAAACAACAAACAACTTTTAAGATATGGTAAAAATAAAGCCCACATACTTGGAAACAATATTTAGCAATGATATATTTGGTAAGGTACTCACATCCAAAATTTAAGGACGTACTAGCACTTCAACAAGAAAAAGATGGACAACCTAATCATAAAATGGGAAGAAAAAATGAAAAGACTCTAACAAAGAAGATATTTAGAAGGCCAACAAACACACGAAGAAATGTTCAAACTTACTAGCCAGCAGAATGGCATAAATCAAATCAACAGTAGGATATTATCTCCTGCCAACAAAAAATATTAGAGTTTAACAAGACAGCAGACAACAAGTACTGGCAAGGATATGGAGAGATTGGAATTCCCATATACTGCTAGTTGTGGTGGTGGTTGTTGATGGCCATAGAGTGGAACACAACTCATAGCAACCCTGTGAACAAAAGACCTGAAGCCTTTCTATAACTATCGTTGTTTCTCAAAATTCAGAGTTTCCAAAGGCACACCATTTAAGAAGTGGATGCCACTCCTACTACCAAACCTGTCTTAAACTGGGAGCTTCACCAAAAACTGTCCACCATAGGCAACCATTATGTCATTTGATACCTCAATGGCACAAGTTTCAGCATCACAGCAATCCCAGGTTACCTCAATACAGCAAACTGACAGAAGAGGGCTATACCACTTAGAAGAACGTTCAGTAACAATCGACTTTTAAACACAAAGGCCCTCCACAGAGGTTTTGTTGACTCTAAACAAGAGCCTTAAATTAAAAACCAACCAATATAATATGTTGTTGTAGTAGGAATGTCAAATACCAGTCACAATGAAAAGTAATCTGAAATTTCTTTAGAAAGTTGAAAACAGAAATCTCATTTGATTCAGCTATCCTATCCCACTACTACTAAAGAAATCAGAGTTGTGAAAAAGATATATTTGTACATTCACGTTTATTATAGTATTATTCACAGAAGCGAAGAGATGAAGCAGCTCAAGTGCTCATCAATAAATGAATGGAGAGGGCATGGCATTTTATGCAGCATTGAAAAAACATTGAACTTGTGAATCACTACAAAAGATGGATGAGTTTAGAAGATATACTGAGAGAAATATCTGTCATAAAAGGACAAATACTCTTACTATTTTTAATAATTTATTTTGTTAGGATTGTTAAGAATACACACACAGAAAAGAATCTACAAATTCAGCATTCTCTAGCTGCAGAATTCAATGACACTAATTATATTCTTCTAGTTGTCCAATAATTTACATTCTCATTTTCTGAGTTGTTTCTCTGAATTACCATGAGTTTACTGATTAAATTTCCTATCTTATCATTTTAATTGATCTTGCCAGGATGCTTCTTAGAAGAAGCAAGAGTGAATGAATGTGGCCTAATTTAATTTGAGTATGTTAGCAAGAGGTCAATCCCTGGAGAAGGATACCATGCTTGATAAATTAGAAGGTTAGTGGGGGAAAAAAGACAACTTCAAAAGATATTTAATGATACAATGTAGGCAACAACAGGCTTTAAGCATAGCAGAGAGTTATTAGGATGAAACAGGACAGGGTAGTGCTTCATTTCTTGTTTGCTGGGTTACTAAGAGTCAGAGCCTTTAATACAAGTAACCACAACAGTTTTGTACTGTGATATATGTATTTGTTGTTTTTGTTGTTGTCATGTACTGTCAATTGCCTGTGACTCATAGCAACACTACCTACAACAGTTCTGAAGCCTGCCCTGTCCTGAGCCGGTCTCACTGACTGGTAAACACCCTATCACCATTGCTCTAGTTACTGTATTGATCATCTCATCTGGGGTCTTCCTCTCCTGTGCTACCCCTTCACCCTTCTGAGCATGATGTCCTTCTCCAAGAATGGGTCCATCCTGGTCATGTGTCTGAAGTATGTGAAACAGGACTTCAAAATCCTAACCTCCAAGGAGAAACTTGGTTTCACACTCTTCAAAACAAACCTATTTTATTTTTTGGTGGTTCCAGACTCTTCTCTAGTACCATAACTCAAAGTCATCAATTCTTCTTCTATTATCCTTAGTTATTAAACATAATATTACATTTTAGTGAATTTTGAGCACCAATTCAATTACATGGCATCATATGTTTCAATAAATCTAAAATCAATGGTTATTTTAGGGTCTAAGAAAAGGTTTGGAGAACACAGGTTCTAGAATATCTGACTTCAAAATGCAAGATGAAAAAAATCCACTACTTGACATTATAATTTATTTTTTGTCTAGTTTCTTAAAGGACCACATAATAATGTATTTTGTTCAAGAAATGATTATTTTATTGAGTTTTAGATCAAACTGATTATTTTAAAAGATAGGCAAACTAAGAATTATTAGCTAATTAAGTGTATGAGAGTAGATAAATAGATATAATCTTCTGAATACTGTGCTTAAGTATGTCAAACAGAGCTTCAAAATCCTAACCTCCAAGTAGAAACGTGGGCAAAAGTGCTTTATGTATATTTTCTCATTTGATCCTCATAGACCTTTCATGTTATGATACACCCTAGAGTAGAGATAAGGAAATTGAATTGTCGTTGTTGTTTGTATTGTGTGTCATAGTGTCTGAATAGACCCATAGCTGACCCTCCAGTGGATTTGCAGAGGCAATTAACCTCGTGAAAGGAGACTGCCCATCCTCCTACAGCGCAAGCTGGTGCCCTCTAAACATGTGCCTTCAGGATTGCAGCACAGCTTGTTGCCACTAGGCTACCAGAAGAAATTTAATATCAGAGAAATTATATCTCGTAGTTACATAAATGACAATGAACCAATACGTGGCAGAGATGTGATTCAAAGTCATAAATGATCATTCTTTCAGTCTCTGTCACAAATTTATCTTATACACAGTATTGAGTAAGAGAAAAACAATGCATGAATGAAAATAAAAACAAATTTATTGTGATGTATATTTTAATATAGTACTCTTCAGTAGTTCATGGCTATTAAAACAAAGTCACAAGCAAATACCTGTGGTGGAAGCAGTGGCAGTCTTATAAAGGCGAGTAGCATACTTAGGTCATTGCATCTCCTCTGTGTGTCATACTTGACCCACATCATCAGTGCATGGAAGATGGTTTCTTCATCAGGGACATTGACATCATCACTGGCAAGGAGTTTATGGAGTTCTTCAGCTGGAAGGAGTAAGAACTCTTGATTTCTGATAACTTCCATTATGTTTTCCTGTGGGGAGAAAAATATCATGGCATAAATTTGGTTTTACTTTTATTTAGTAGTAAAGTATCTCTGAAAGAAATGAGAAAAGTAGTCAATAACCTTTGTTCTCATTATAGCAGAATCCTTGAGATTCAATCCTCCAGGAACTAGAAGCTGTTAAGATGAAAGCATTGTAATTGTAATTGAAGTGTAAATGTATCTGAGAGGACAAAGATCTTGTAATAATCAGAGGATTATAATGCTGAGCTTTGTTATGCAGCCAGAATGGACTATGTGATTAAATGTTACATTTCAAGTGGACTGCTAAATCAGATTTAGTGAATATGAAAACAACTTTAAAATTTTGCTATATGTAAACACCTAAGTAAGCAATAGTGAAATTGCATAGGGACAAGTAATGTAAAATGTTTATCTTTAATTCAGAAAGGAAAAAAAAATCCAGAAAGTTTAGGCATTAGTTACACAGTTCCACAGGTTGCCTTTTGTATCTCCTACTTCTCATAACAATTTCTGACTTTTAAAAAGATTCCCAATTCTTCCTTCACATTTTTACTATAAACTTATATATATATCTATCTCTATCTATCTCTATCATCTATCTCATTACCTTCTATATCTATAATTTTTAATGCCAGAACATTTCTCAAACACAAGTGGGATCTTGGAAGTCACTAAAGTTTTGTTATTCCACCCCCTCTGCCCCTATTTTGCTTTGCTGTCTCTTTTTTTATTTTGTCTTTTTTGGCTCTTCAGGTTTAGCTTTTTTGCTTCTGATATTTACTCTTGTATTTGAATATCACTCACAAAAATTATTCACGATACTTCTAATTTACCATGTGTTTGACACCACTTCCTTCACTCACTCCAGTGTTTTAAGTGATGATTCTTAGATTTCTTCTAATTTCTGCTACTTTTCAAGATTTAATCCAAGGATTGACCACTTCTTATATACTAACCCTGTTTTTTACTCCTACCTGCCCTGGTCATACCTCCTTTTCCTCTTTATATTTCATGAAGATCCATTAAATAACAGCTACCACAAAAAAAATAAACTTTAGTTTACAAAGACAGACTTAGAACAAAATGTAAGCTATGAGCAAGAAACTCTAGATTTTACCATAAATCCTGGAACATAGCATAATCAGAGTAAGTATAAGTAAAATTGAAGATCTTCGTAGGAAAAAAGAAAATATGGGGGGCAATTTGCATTTCAAACATTTTTAAAACAGTGTTACTACTCATTATCACTAACTGGGCTCCTACTTAAATACATTGTATATATTGTTGTTGTGTGGACCAAGTAGGAACCAAACTATAGCTGACCCTCCAGCTGGTTTTCAGAGACAGTAAATTATATTGGAGAAGATGTCTCATTTTTTCCCTCAAATGAATTTGAACCATGTGACATAAACCGTAGTTCCTTACCAGTAAGCTACTAGAACTTTCTTCTGATGGCTTAATAGAAAGGAATTGTGCTGCCAACACAAAAGTATGTGGTCCAGCTTTTTGAGGAAGTGCCACACTGTCTTCCAGAGTGGTTGGTACCATTTTAAAATCCCGCCAACAGTGTATAAGAGTTCTTATCTTGCCACATGCTCTCCAACATTCATTACTTGCTGTTCTATTAAACTTTGATACTGCTACTGGAGTGAGATGGTATCTTATTTGGGTTTGATTTGCATTTCTCTTATTGTCAGTGTTTTTGAGCATTTCTGCATGTGTCTATTGACCATCTTCATCTGTGAAAATTCTTTCCATGTCTTTTGCCCATTTTATAATTATGTTAGCCCCCTTTTTCTTGTGGAGGACCTGTAGGATTCTGCAAACATTTGATATGAGACCCTTGTCTGAAGTGGTATTGCTAAATTTTGGGTTGTTTAGTTTTGTTTTGTTTTCCCCATGTCAGTAGGTTTTCTTTTTACTGTTGGAAAATGTTTTTGATGTGCACGGGATTTAATCTTTAGAAGGTCCCATTGCTCAATTTTATCTTCTTCATATTGTGCATTTCTGGCTGTATCCATATGATCCAGCTCTTCCACTGCTAGGAATATACCCTGAGAGAATGAGAACTGAGTCACAAATGCAGACTTGTACACCAGTGTTCACAGCAGCATTATTCACCATCACAAGAACATGGAAACAGCCCGAGTGTCCAACCACAATCAAATGGGATGAGAAATTATTGTACATTCACGTGCTGGAATACTATGCAGAATGCAGAAACAATGATTTTGTAAACTGCTACCTAACACAGGACTGGAGACCATCATGCTGTGTGAACTTAGTCCCATAAGGACAAATACTGTATAAAACCATTATTGTAGAATGAGTATGAAGATTCAAGGGGGGAGAACGGGGAGCTGAGGAGTGAGGATGGGTGTGTTTGTGTGTGTGGGGGGTGAATCATAGGGCTGCACAATTTGATGAGTGGAACGGGCCAGTGAAGGGCATGGGAAAGATCCAGTGTGAAAAACAATGCATATGAACTTTATAAATAAACCAGCATAGAAAGAGAGAGAGAAGAGAGAAGAGAGAGGAGAGAAAGAAAGAAAAAAAAGGAAAGAAAGAAAGAAAGAAAGAAAGAAAGAAAGAAAGAAAGAAAGAAAGAAAGAAAGAAAGAAAGAAAGAAGGAAGGAAGGAAGGAAGGAAG